ATTATCCCACGTGATTCCTTTGAGGTTATTGAAGCGGCTACTAGTTCATTGCGCTCAGCCAACGGTACCATTATTCAAGTGTATGGTCAACGCTCACACAACCTTAATTTGAACGTATGATGTTTCCTTCAACGGATCTTCCTCCTCGCAGATGTTTAGACTCCAATTTTTGGCCTTGACTTTCTGCAACATTTCGACTTGCTAGTCGATGCGAAGCGACGCCGTCTGGTCGATCGCCAAACAAATCTGGCAGTTATATGTACTTTGACCAACACTGAGTCAATCAGTCCTGTATACGCCAACTAATCGAGCTCAGCTATCCGTCAGATGTTCCTGAGCAAATTCCCGCAAGTCTTCCATCAAACAGCACTGTTACCATCCGCCGCCGATGCTACAAAGCATCACATCGTTACCAAAGGTCCAGCTGTTTTCACCAAAGCTAGGCAAATGACTCCTGACAAGATATAAGTTCCTCGCGCTGAATTTGAGCACATGCTTGAACTAGGCATTGTTCATCGGCAGAAAAACACAAAGATCCCTCTGGAATTGCTAGGTAAAAATGACCTGCTTCGTCTGCATTGTACACGTTGTCATCATCAAATGCATTTAAATTTCCAGGTAGTCATTCTTTCAGCCAATTTTCACAGAATGCTCTGTCCACGGAACTCTTTTCGCCATGCACACGTTTATACATAATTTGATTCATGTTCTTCCGTCTTTACAACCAGCCTTCTGTGGCAGCAATGTTTTTCCGCCTTCTGCCTTTTTTCTTCAACAGCTGGCCTGTAACTGTTTGCTTGTGCTCATGAACCGATACCAAACAGTCTTTCAATCCAGTTACAATTTCGTCCTCCTTTCCACATCGTTTCCTTTTCTGAGAGCTTACAGTGCCATGCAACAGATTCTGCCAGAGTTTTTTCGCTGGTGGTCATCCTGGATAGGGTTGGACGAGAAATGTGTAAATCACACGACAACAGTGTGAGATTCCTGGTGGATAAGTTTTAATTTCCTTTAAAACGTCCATCTTTTCTGTCAAAGACATCCTTTTGTTACTTGTCATACTTGTGTGTAACCAACACAGTACTGACAAATGCGGAGCGGAAAGATTGCTCAACTTTTCTCAGTTCTCGAGTTTTGAGTAGGGTCGAGGGTGTGCCCACAGGCGTCTGTACATTTACCTTGCTCGTTTATTGGATGACGTATGTAACTGTTACAGGTCTGACAGCCCTGCTAGACTCACTCGGGTTTCACTGGCGCCAGTACACTATCGGGCCCGAACAACACGGTCGCTGTGCAGACGCGTAAACAAATCAGTTCAGAGCGGAGCTCTCATTACAGAAACTGCCGCCAAGGGTCCACTCATCCGCTCAGATCACAACAGAGTGGAACTTTATGAAAATGCGGTCAACATATGTGGCACACTTCTACTGCACTCGCCCCAGTGTTACCACTGTATCCACTGGTCTCTCCTCAAGTTAACAATCTGCCTCCTCTGCTGTGTTCATGTCAATGCCATGGTTACAGAGCACGCTAAACAACTGAGGTGCGTCCAACGTCTCAACTGCATCGACCCTACACCATCTCTGCCCTAAGAGAGGGCCATTACTTGGCAACTCGTGTGCCAACAAATGTACACCTTTCCTTATGGTTTATACAATTGATAAAGCGACTTGAATGCAACCTACGCAGCTGGGCAATTAAGCGGTGGGATGACCCCGGCAATGGGCAATTAGACGGTGAAAATTTAGCATATTTATGAGAAAAGAATTTGTATTTTGAAAAACTGGGCAATAAAGCGGGTTCGACTGTAGCGCACGGTCGACGCGCTATAGACTAAGCCAATCGGGATGCGTCTATCCTTATTCGATCGGTCACGCGCCCACACGGGGCGTAGTCCACAAGAGCAGAATCGTTGCTCCGACTAACAGTGTACTATCAAAGCACCGGCGTTGCAATAATAAGCGAGCATGGTATTGTAATTTATAGCAAAAAAGATTATTGACTAGGACACGACTTTGTTTCACACCCGGGACAACACCCTGGTCTTCTGACGTCGACGCAACTGACCTCTGCTTGCATATCACCACACACGTAGTCAATCATATATAGATACCACGACACCAGAATTTATTCGGAACTTGCTCCAGTGCATCACGGTTCACTCTCTGGAACGTCTTGCTGAAGCCAACGAGTAACAGATGCAGTGATGGGCTTCAGTTCTCTCATGTTCGGCGAACTGTGGACACCATGTTCATGTGCTGTGACATGACACATGCATTATTCTCCCGATGACAAACGGTACATGGTTTACTTTCCTTGCCCTGTACAGTGGTCCTTCAGTTCAGAATGCACCTACTCGTTCGACTGCGTATGTTCGGCTGTCAAAATCAGCGATTGGGATATCGGGAGAATCAACTTTTCAGTGCTGCTGAAAACACCACATCGGTACTTACAGTTGACCACATGATCTCTCCACTTTTCATGTCCGCTATTGTTCACAAATGTCTGCTAGTGGTTGGAACAACTGCGAGTCTGATCAGTTGACTTCGGGACGAATATTAAATAGACGACTGAAGTGGTCAGATGACATTCCGCTTTGAGTCTGTATACTGCATGCAAGCAGTGCGAATCAAGATATCCGTCAAAGTCCATATCAGCTGGACGATTGCCACCTAGAATAATTTACGCTTGGATGGCCCTTCAAGCTTGGTCACAGTGATACTGTCAAGTAAATGGGCGTTATTATCCATAGTATGCTGGTGACTCGAATGCAATGGTTACATCTGGTCGCCCTTCAATAACTGGACTACCTTGGACTTGAGGTCTATAATCCTGATCACTCGAAATACCATAATGACACAGGTGGAATAAAGTACGTTTTAATCTCCATTCTGAGTCGTTTTTTTCAGGAGAAGACAGGTTCCTGTACCTGTTGAAGGCATCGTATTCTCATCTGGACAGTTACCTTCGAAGCAGTTTTCTGTAATCTTCCGAAGGATTTGCACGGATATGATGTCCATGGAAATGTTTCCTCCAGCTAGATAGAGATAAGTATGCAGTAAGCCATCAGAATCATGGCAGAAAAAACGGAGAAAACAGAAACATGAAACGCGAGTACAAAATGGAAAAAGATCTTTTTTGACTTTACATACGCCACTTTTGATTTATTTTTTGTTTTTGTTTCGTGAGTTTTTGTATGCATTAAAGGGGGATAAGATGGCAGAACAACATTGACGCCACTAATGTCTGTTGCGGGCCATGACCTCCAATGATTCCAAGCATTGAGATTCAGCACCTCGTGATCCCCAACTTAGAAGACGGACTGGTCCCACTGCCACCAAACTTGAGGTTCCCTTCTTCATGATCTTCCTCCACCTCATTGGCTGTCCATCGCAGCACTTTTTCCAATCGCTTCCAGGGAGCGCAAATATCGCTCGGCGGGGAAGGCGATAGGCCAGCATGCGCAAAACTTGTCCGAGCCAACGCATGCGATGTCGGAGCATAACGTTCGGAAGACTGGCATTACTCGCTCTAAGCACTCAGTCTCGGACCTCTGTGTTGCAAGCAATCGGTCTTGCGCCTCTGTGTTGCTTACCTGGTGCTGCCAACACACCCGAGCAATCCTTTCTAGGCAGCGATTGTCGAAGGCTGACAACCACTTCATGTCTTCCGAGCGAATAAGCCATGTTACACAGTCGTACAAGAGTACTGCAAGGACGGAAAGAGTGTGCAGCCTGCCCTTTAGCTTGAGACTGATATCACGACGACGCCATAGGTGCCCCAGTTTGATGAATGCAAAGCGGGCCTTTGCAATCCATTGTGAAACTTCATCTCCAACCCCGCCACCAGCCGTGATGCAACTCCCTAGATAAGTTAAGCAAGGGACTTGCTCCAGAACATGTCCAGCAATACTGAGCGCGGGTTCAGCGCTTGCCAATCCTGGAGCAGCGTTTTATATTTTCCCGGAGTGAAGCATAAGCCGTACTTAGAGACCTCCATTGCTAAGCGGTCCATAGCGCTCTGGACGGTTTGTGGGTCGTCCCCCAGTAAGGCGATATCATCGGCGTAGTCCAAGTCCGTGACACTGTCTCCAGGAAGGAGCTCAACACCGCAGTTCTGGACACTTTCTAGTGCTCCTTGGACGACATAAATGGCAAAATTGAAGTGGGAAGGTGAAATAGAGCAACCGTGACGGACACCGCTGGTCACGGCAAAGGAAGAAGAGAGCGTGCCATTAGCGCTGAATTTGCTCAACGTATGGTTGTAAAGTTCTTTCAGAATGTTTACAAACTAGTAGGGTACACCTTTCTTCAGTAAACAGTTCCACAACGCAGGTCTGTCCACTGAGTCAAATGCTGCTCGGATATCCAAAAACACTACGATTGTTGGCCGCCGCTGGATGTGACGGAGTTCGAAAAGTTGGCGATGCGTGAAGATTTGGTCGATGCAACCGCGGCCTGGACGAAATCCGGGTGTCCTTCTAGGGAAAACTCCTCTTTAATCGTTGAAAGCCTGCAAAGTAGGACATACACGAAGATTTTGGATGGGACAGATATCAACGAGATTCCGCAGTAGTTGCAGCAACCATCGCGGGAGCCATTCTCGTGAATCGGAACAATGACCGATTCTCCCCATGAGTTCGGAACTTTCTCTTCAGTCCAAACTCATGAACAGCGATAGGATTTCACTGACAAGTACACTCCCGCCATCGTTGAATAGAGCCGGGAGTAGGCTGTTGGGACCAGGAGCTTTGTGGCGTTTCAACTATTGGAATGCATCTCTGATCTCTGCTTCAGTTGGGGCTAAAGGTGCCACAGGGGGCTGTGTTGAGTGGTTGAATTGAAGAGCAAAATGCTCTGCCAAGCGACCCAATCGTCTGTAAATGTTGGTGATCTTCGTGCCGTCCGATTCGCAAATCGTCTGACTGATAGCTTGGGATTCGCAACAGGTAAGCAGTATGCATCCGTTTCAGACCTTGGACTAGAACTGTTTATTCATCTGAAGGATGCGTGGCAGCTGTCGCGTGACATCCCTCGGCGATCAATAGTTTAAATGTTTCAGTACCGCTCTGCTGTGACGCAGAGGAGGGAACGACTAAATGGCAGCGAACAAAGGGTAAGCTAAGTACTCATCTACTTTCATGTTCCCTCAACTCCTTAAGGAATGGGACGCAGCAGAATGCGATCGAGGAACAGCTTTTACAACAAATCGACAAACTCCAAATGGTGGCTCGCCTTCTCGGGTTCAGAGCTTGCAAGTCAGAGGAAGCTAACCGCAAGACAGAAGCGACTTTGAGGAAACTACAACAAAATCGGAACCAATTAAAACAACAATGCAATGAACTGGTTGATGATATGGAGCACGTGATCCTGTCAATCGTAACTTCGCTAAAAGCATTCCAGGCGGAAGCAAGAGCAACCTTGTTCAGTTTGCAGACACAACTGCAAAACTCAGATAAAGAACTGCAAGATGCCAATACCACCATCCGACAGTTGACGGAGAAGGTGGAAACGCTGGAGCAAACGGTGGCAGAAAACAAACGTCTGTTCGAAGTCAATCTGCAAGCAATCCACGTGACGTACATAAATGTGCTCGAAAGTGTGTTTGAGAAACTACAAGAATATATGCTCAACGATCTCAATGCACTCAAGAACACCAACGATGATTTGCATACCAGGTATACCACCGCCTTCAAACAGCTGGGATTGCAATGCACTTTCCACGAAATATGATGAAGAGCGTAGAAGAAGTTGAGTCTGTTGAAATCGCTTAGCATTGGATGCAGGAATGGGCAAAGGTTATCAACATAGTCTACCTGCTTGACTAGTCTGCATAATATTGAAAATTTAATTTCTATTTCGCACATTCTGTACACGATGGGTGTTGCGGTGTGCATTCCAATATCAAAGGCCAAGGTGCTCACATATAAAAATCCTAATAAATTCATAAAACGAAAGTGGGTGCATTACCATTGCTATTGGCTTCATCCTCACTATCACAGAACATTGGCCGGTAATGCTGGTATATATATATATATATATATATATATATATATATATGTTTGGCGGCATCCGGTTTCAGATTTGCCTGTCACTGTGACCAGCCACAGGACTCCTGCGCCTACAAAGAGACAATGGGTGGCTTGCGCTGCATCACCCACAGCTCCAACCACACACCCCATATCCAGTGTAAACCCGAAGGAATAAGACCGGGAGGCATGTGGATGGGCGCCATGTTGCATCAGCGATGCCGGCCCACACTCCTTCACAGGCAAACACCAGCACGTGGTATTTGGGAAGCAATCACACACAAGGCGCTGACTGGACCTTAGACCGCTCCACACTGAGTGCATGCAACCACTCTGATCCTAACACGGCCACAAGGACCGTGCATCCCGTCCTCTCCAACAACGTACAATTGTCTCCTAGAGCCAGTATGGACGAGGTAGGGAGTGATAGATAGGTGGGCACCTTATCAACATGCACATCAAGCGCAAGCAATCCGGGGATATCAAGCAACAGTCAATCACTTAAAAAGACAAGGTGAAATAACATAAAACGAATAGTACATACAGATACGGTGATACAACACCTCAATAAATGAGCATCTGAGAAAAATTCATTGCCGAAATATCCGCCATAGACACAAGACGTAAGAAAATATACTTCAAGAAACTTTAAACTAAAATTAACTTCAGCGACGTGTGCAAGTTTATAGAAGATAGTACAGCGAGATATAAATGAGACATTATAGCAAACCCACCATCTGAACTAAAGAAACCCAGCATGCAAACACACTGCGCCGGTTCTGCCTACGTTTTCTGCAGGAACCGTCATCGTTTCGGTGGTGAAAACGAGAGGCCTACGTTACTCAGGCACCCGTGACCGCATGTGCTACAGCACCATGCACTTGATGTCCTTGCAGTACGAACAGTCGGCGCTTACAGTTTCCGCACTTGCCGCTTCTTCTCTGCATGTATGAGGTCTTTCTCCTGCACCTCGGCAACTGCTTTCGTGATCGGATCGCGCCATGCATGCCGATCAACCGTCTTCGATTCCCACGATCTGCAATCAAGATTGGAACGTGAGAGGCTCACTTTGATCATGTCCCGGTAACGAAGCTTAAGTTTCCCCACATGCCGCTTCCCAATACTCAGCTGACCATATAATAGTTGGTTCGGTATCCCAGTCGAATCCATACGGCGCACATGATTTAGCCACCTCAGGTGTCGCAGGAAAAGTATGCAGTCCACTGCATACATTCCACTTCGGCGCAACACTTCCGTGTCTGCAACTCTGTCGCACCAACCGATGCGCGGATTTCGTCGAAGACACTGTTGATGGAACAGCTCGAGATATCGCACATCCCGCCGGTACATCGTCCATGTTTCACTGCCGTATAGCAGAAAGAACTGCACCATGGATTTGTACTACTTCAACTTCGTGCTGACAGTAATCTGACGGTTGTTCCACACCGCTGCCTTCGAGACGCAGATACGGAGCTCACTGGGTAGCTGCTGGTCAGTCAACATCACACTCCCAAGATAGCAGAAGCTGAAGGTGATTTCCAATACTTCAGCAACAAGGCTGATTCGCGGCAATACTCTAGATTGGAACTCCCGTGAAGGCTGAAAGAGACAGACAGTTTTGCTAGTGTTGATGGTGAGCCCGAATGCGGCGGCTGTGGAAGCCAGAACACTAGTCACGTGCTGCACCTCATCCGTGCTGTGTGCAAACAACGCACAGTCCTCAGCAAACAGCAGCATACGGATAGCTGTCTCACAGACTAGGGTTCTCGCACCGAAAGGACGGATGTTCATCAACCCATCATCAATACGGTGCTGTACACGAACACCGTACGAACACGCGGCATCGAAAGCACAAGACATCATGGCAAGAAGATAATTAATAAACAGGGCAGGAGCTAAGACACAGCCTTGTTTCACACCAGAGATAACTGCAAAGTCACCCAAGGTCTGTCCACTCAGCTGCACCCTCGCCCGCACACCACTCCGCACACATCCAATTACACATGCAAACTAACGCGGGCAACCAAACTTCCCGAGAATCAGTCGCGATGCCTTGGTGAAATCAACAAAAAGCGAGTACAAAGGCTGATTTAATTTTCTACACTTCTCATGCAACTGACGAGCCGCAAACACCATATCTATAGTGCTGCGACCCGAACGGAATCCGCATTGCTCTTCCGCCACGCTAGGTTCCACAACCTGACTGACGAGGCGGTTGAGCTGGGTTCGGGCAATCATCTTGCCCACGCAACTCAGCAAATTGATGGCACGATAATTCGTGTAACATTGCTTGCTCCCTTTGCCCTTGTACAGTGGTAGCACAAGGGCATCCTTCAGTTCAGCAGGCACCTCATCCTCAATCCATACGTGTTGCACCAAGTGGTGCAGCGTAGTCACCAACTCGGGTCCGTCGTGTTTCAATACTTCAGGCGGGAACCCGACGGCCCCGGCACACTTGCCGTTTCGTAGCCGAGCAAGTGCTGTCTGCATCTCATCCAGTGTCGGCGTATCTGCTAGCCTCGCCTTCACATCGTGCTGCTTGAGGCCGTTCAATGTAGGCTAGTCGATCTCTGAACGGTTGTTCAAGAGACAGTCAAAGTGTTTCCGCCAGATCTGTATTATGTCTGCAGCCTGGGTGCAGGTAGCGCCTGAACTACCATCGATCAGCGTCCTCAGCGGCTCCAATCTCGGTCCATACACCGCCTTCAAGGAGTCAAAGAAATACTTGTGCTTGCGGCGTTTGGCATAGCGGTCTATCTGCTTCGCCTTCTCCGTCCACCATGCAATTTTAATGCGACAGAGCTCTCGGATCAATCGCCGTCGAAATTTGCGAAGCTGACTATTCTTCCCTAAGTCACTGGGGTCTGCCACATGTGCAACAAATGCTGCATTCTTCTCCGACACCGATGCGCCAATCGTCGCATTGTTGTCATCAAACCAATCGGGCCATTTACAGTTTGCGCGCCCGATGGTCTCCTCGGCAGCAGCTGTCACCTGATCGCGAATGTGGTGCCACAGGTCGCCCACTGTGGCTATGCACTCCACATCACACAGGCGTACAGCCATCGCCTTCTCCAGCTCAGTATGTTTCGCCACAGTACCGAGGGAGAGAATGTTAAATTTACGCCGATTCACGGCGGGAGTGCAATACATAGATTTACGAAAATATATGTGCAGTTTGGTCCGCACCAATTTATGATCAGTGCCACACGTATCATGCGCACTTCACGCATATCACGCTGACATGCGATGACATAGTCGAGCAGGTGAGCGTGACCACTCCGTGGGTGCGTCCAAGTTGCTATATCACTCGCACTCAGTGCAAACCGAGTGTTCGTGATCGTCAGGCCGTGAGTGGCAATCATTGGGAGCAGCCTCTCAGCTTTCGCAATCGCTGAACCAATGTCATGCGGACCGATAACATCAGTCCACACCGATGCATCACGCCCCACGCGCGCGTTGAAATCACCCAGCAAAAATAGTCGGTCGCTCCTCGGCACAGACCGTACCACGGAGAATAGCTGATTCGATGGAACACTAATGAATCCCTTAGATTGGTCTCCTACTATCAAGCATTCTCATCTTAAAAGCCAGGGGTTTTGATGACGCCGCTAGCGCGAATGGGCTGCGTTCACTACTGGCTACCAAGCGCTTGCTGCTTACAATACTCCATATTCGTTCGTGCATTCGGTTGAACAAATTGGGTGTAGTGATCAACAATTATACCTGGAGTCCAATGACTCTACAACGCTTCCTCGCTGTGGAATGAAGCTTGGAAATTTGATGTTCACTGTCCGACAATTTTCGTTGCAAGCACTCACATGTTGGCGCGTCCGTGTGATTTGCCTCGGTTCTACTAAGACTGAGGTATGCACATATTGCACTTGACTTGTATTTTGTTTAATTGTACTTTAGTTAACGTCCTAGTTGGATCAGGGCGTTTTTACGTGTTACTCGAGACTCACAATGAGTCTGTCGTCTATATAAATAGCTTCTCGCCAAAGTTGAGTATACAGCCACATCTGCCAACGGTTGGGTAATTGGATGTTTTGCAGGCTACTTCTTGTAAATTGACTAAAACGGTTTGAGCACTTTTTCGAATGCCGAATGTTGGACAGGACGCAGTGGGATTTGCTAGATATATTCTTTCTGTGATCACATCATTGCGGTTATCAGATAATCTGTGATATTACCGCCTTTTAACGGATATGGCAGACGGCATCTGCAGCACACCCACTAACGATAAGACATCACTGTTTGTATTGTACCTCTTATTTGTGTATCATTTTCCACCCGGTAACCGTATTGATGGCATCTGTTGTTTCCCTATTCCTATATCTGTCTCTATCTGTTGTTGATTCTCACACTTCTGACTAAATGTATAGCTGCCACTTTTGGGTTAACGCTTAAATGTTAACTAACCAACGACAGTCTTATTGATTGCTTAGACAATTATACGTGAGATCTTCCAGCACTAGTGGAATATGGCTGTTTTTCTTACATTCAGTTCATACTCGCGCAAGTCCATTGTGTTATTGCTCATGAGGGTTATTGTTTCTCCATACAGTTTGTGGTAGTTCATACACACATGTGAATAAATGTCCGTTCGCAACACTGCAGTACTGCAACTCGAACCAGAGACATTTGGTGTGTCAAACGGTATCATATGTTGAATGACTAAGTGGAAGCCATTTAGGATCACGTGTAAGCGCCACACTTCAACCTGACAGACTGATGGCATTTTCACTCACGCGACACCATTATCTGCTGGCTCGATGTCTAAATGGGGCTGGACTAACTTACAAGTCCCGCTAACATCTGTTCGTATCTCGATACTATCACAGCTGGACTCTAACCGCAAGTACGTATTTCAACTCACAGCGAATAAGCAAGAAGACGCGTCAGTCTGGCGCACAGTGTACTGACCACTTAACGGTTTACATGTGA